CTCTGTTGCCCAGACTGGAGTGCAGTGGCCGCTTCCAGCCACCGCAGCCTCGACCTGCTGGGCTCCGGCGATCCTTCTGCCTCAGCCTTCCAAGTAGCTGGAACTACAGGTGCGTGCTACCACGCCTGGCTAATTTATTATTGTAGAGATGAGGTCTTGCCAAGTTGCCCAGGCAGGTCTCGAACCCGCAGCCTCAGGCAATCCACTCACCTCAGCCTAACATGATATTTAAAAAAAAAAGTTTGCAGCAGAAGGATCACCTGAGCCCAGCAGGTTGAGGCTGTGGTGAGTCATGAGTATGCCACTGCACTTCAGCCTGGGTGACAGAGTGAGACCCCCCAACTATAAAACAACTCACCATTATGTGGAGATGGGGAACATGCAGCCAGGCATGGTGGAATTTGATCAGGCCTGAGTTTGAATATTTCTACATGACCTTGAACTACTAGCTTAACCTCTAAGCCTCTATATCCTCATCATTGAAATAGAGATTTTGTAGTGCTCTCATAAAGTCCACATATAAAGAAACACAGTGTCTTGCACAAAATCATCATGCAACATAAATTAGCTACTACTAAGGGATGCTACGTGCATATAGGGTCCTTGAGGGAACTTCCTTTTTCTTTCAGAGACCTGATGACTGCGGTACTCCAGACCCTTCTTTTTTTTTTTTTTTTTTTTTGAGTCTCACTCTGTCATCTAGGCTGGAGTCCAGTGGCATGCTCACAGCCACCACAGCCTCAACTTGCTGGGCTCAGGTTATCCTTCTGCCTCAGCCTTCCAAGTAGCTGGAACCACAGGCGTACGCCACCACGCCTGACTAATTTTTTAATTTATTGTAGAGATGAAGTCTCGCCATGTTGCTCAGGCTGGTCTCGAACCTGAGTTCAGACAATCCCCTTGACTCCTCCTCCCAAAGTGCTGGGGATTACAGGCGTGAGCTACTGCACCCGGCCACCCTTCCTTCTTCCAAGGGGACGGGCAGCACAGAGTGTGCTTCATGGCATGAGTGAGTGGGCAAAGCTTCCCCCTTCTCCATAGAAGGTACCACCTCCCCTTATCTGCCAGGTCCCCTGAAAACGGGGCTACCCCCAGCTCTCAGCTCAGGGTTGCAGGGAGGGTGGAGGCAGTTTGCACTAGTTGGTTTTCCTTACCACAGTGGTTCAGTGAGCTTGATCTTGGGGGAGGGGAGGGTACCAGTTCATGGAAGGAGCAAGCTGGGGGAGAAGGGGAGACAGCAGGGAGTATCCACCCACTCAGCAAGGACAATGTGGTGATCAGAAGGGAAGGAGGGGAGGAAAAATGTATCTGGAGGTGAACTGAAAAGTTGAGGGAGAGCAGGGTGGCTGGATACAGGCCACAGGCAGCTTCCTTTGCCTCTCAGGTGTGACTATTCCATGTGTTAACCACCATGTGCTATCTATTTCCTTGGGGGCAGGTGACAAGAGTGGAAAAACCGGACAACCATCTGTATGCTGCCCTGGAAAAAACCCGTGCTGTTTAGCTGACGTAATAAGCTTAGAAGTTTGGGTCCCAGCTCTGGGCTCACATCACATCTTCCTCCCCTCCCAAATCGGAGGGAAGTTGTTCCTGGCTCCTTCAGGAGTGTGGAGGAAGGTATTCTGGGGGAAGCCTCCTTTTTCACACAACTCCAGCTGGCACCTGAGTCTACTTCCCAGGGAAAACTCTGGAAGCTTTTCCACAGACACAGATTGTATGGGCTGGTGGCATTGGGGTCCACAGAGGTGCATTTTCTGGGAGAAGGCAGCTAGAAAGTGACGCCCCAAAGATTCAGGAACATTTTCTTTTTTCTTTTCTTTTCTTTTTTTTTTTTCTGAGTTGGAGTCTCACTCTGTCGCCCAGACTGGAGTACAGCAGCCGCTCCCGGCCACCGCAGCCTCGACCTGCTGGGCTCCGGCGATCCTTCCGCCTCAGCCTTCCAAGTAGCCGGAATTACAGGCATGCGCTACCACACCTGGCTGATTTTTTGATTTATTGTAGAGATGAGGGCTCGCTGCCCAGGTGGGTCTCGAACCCGCGGGCTCAGGCAATCCACTCATCTCAGCCTCCCAAAGGCGCGGGATTACAGGCTGAGCCACCGAGCCCGGCTAGGAACATTTTCTTCTCTGACTTCTGAAGCCTATGCTGCTGAGGCAATCCACCCAGCACAGGGTTGTCCAGACAAGGAGGGGTGGTTGGGATTGGCAGTGTGAGGTGAAGACAGATCCCCAGCAGTGCCCCTTTAACCAAGCCTGCAGGCATGTTTCCGGGCCTCTGATATCTGTGCGTGGACACAAATTCCCATGTTACCAGTGGACATTACCAGATTTGGAGAGGGCTGGGTGGAATGCGGGAAGTTTGAAAAGACATACTCAAAGTCAGGTGTAGTGGCTCAAGCCTGTAATCCCAGCACTTTGGGAGGTGGAGGCGAGAGGATTGCCTGAGCTTAGGGGTTCAAGACCAGCCTGAGCAACATGGCAAGACCTCGTATCTACAATAAATAAAAAAATTAGCCGGGTGTGGTGGCGCATGCCTGTGGTTCCAGCTACCTGAAAGGCTGAGGCGGAGGGATCACCTGAGCCCAGCAGGTCGAGACTGTGGGGGTTTACAAGTTTCCCTAGGTGGATGAGAAGGTTGTGTTGTAGAGGGAAAGTGAAGGAGCCAGGGTGGGGGAAGCTGACCAACCCTTGGGCAGCCATCCTTTGGTGACATGAGACAGTCACAAGAATGACAAGAGGGGCCAGGTGCAGTGGTCCATGCCTGTAATCCCAGCATTTTGGGAGGCTGAGGTGAGAGGATTGCCCGAGCCCACGAATTCAAGACCAGCCTGTGCCACTTGGTGAGACTTCATCTCTACAATAGACCAAAAAATTAGCCAGGCATGATGACACACGCCTGTAGTTCCACCTACCTGGAAGGCTGAGGCGGAAGAATTGCCTGAGCCCAGCAGGTCGAGGCTGTGGTGGCCGGGAGTGTGCCACTGCACTCCAGCCCATCTCCTGGTGTTTAACTTTGCAATGCTTTCTCATTGCTCTTAAGAGGTCCAAGCTCTCCAGAGCTTGTGAGGCCCTAGGGGGTCTGACTTCCACCCTTGGCCCTGGCCCCCGCCCACTGGCCCATCTGCTCCCTGTGCCTACACTGGACTCCCAGCTGACTCCTCCCCAGCTAAATTGTCACTCCTTTCAGAGGGTGCCCTGACCGCCTTTGCTTGGTGTTTCTCAACCCTTTTTTCCAACCATCGCTTTCCCTTCCCACCACAGAAGAGCCTATTTAGACATTTTCCCCCTAATGGTCCCCCAGGAAATTTTAATAACACAGATATACCATATATCTCCACATACTGTATGTAGATACCTAGATATAAGATTATGCAAGGTTTAAAAAAAGAAATTAATTCACTGTTGAGCCCACATGCCCTAGCTAAAGTGGACCACCTGCCTGCCTCTGGTTTTCCACGCATTTCCTACTGTTTATTTTTGGTGACCCCCCCCCACCACAGAATGCAAACTCCATGAGAAGAGGGCCCCTGCTGCGTTTGTTCACCAAGTATCCCCAGCGTGGCTGGTGTAGCTGGCCCTCAATAAATATAGAAACTGCCGCGAGAGCCTGCTATTTAGAGCCATTCAGCCACCAATCACAGGGAAGTGAGGAGGAGCAGATTCAGAGGAACTTGGAGGCCACCCTCTCCCACAGCTGGGCACGAAGCGAGGCAGGTGTGTCACATGCACAGAGACTGGACCATGGCTGTTTCTTTTAGAATACTGGTGCATTTTTTATTAAAGAAGAGAATAAAGCTTTTGTAAATATATTTCTCTCATGTATACTTCAAAGGTGACGCTGGTCGGCTGCTACAGAGCTGGGGAGCAAACAGGCCGGAGCTCTTCCCCCCTCCCCCCCCCCCCCCCCCC